CTGAAGTGTATATTTAGAAATCAGAGGACAATTTAGGAAGAGAGTCACACAACATAAGCCAGAAGAGTAAGAAAAAGTAGGGAGAGTGAGTTTTTTTCAGGTATTGAGCACTCCCAAACTGCACCAGTGAATATCCAGACCGACACAACTCTTTTTAACTTCACCAAGTAACAGCAAAACCCAACACTTACACAGCGTTTTTCATTCATCCATCTCAAATTGCATCACAAGGAGAGTTAAAACATTGGATTTGGCATCTCTCTCTGTAAATTGATGCACAGAGCTGAAAGTCCAAGGTTGCACAAAGGCAAACACTAGGGACAATGCAGGCCATGGAGTCATGTCCATTGTCATGCATGCTGAGTTTGGACCTTGTCTTCAATCCTTGATGCAGCCCATCGGCCTTGTGGAGGCAGGGTAGCCCGCAGGGTCCGCCTGCTCTGTCATTTCATTAGGGGCAGTGCTTTCAAAGCAGGTGTTTTACACTGAAAATTAAGGTTGAGCAGCACACCCACTTCAGCCCATGGAGTCCCAGTGCTGCTGAGGCTGGTGAGCACCTCTGGAGATCATCTGTCCTAACTCTCACTCACAGCAGGCTGCTCAGGCCTGCATCGTCAGGTTTTGAGTATCAGCAAGGATGGAGATGCCACAACTTCTCTGGGCAACCTGTGTCAGTGTTTGACCCCTCTCACAGTAAAAATGTTTCTTCCTATATTTGAAATAAATTTCCTCTATTTTGGTTAGTGCCACTTTTCTCAAGTCTTGTCCATGGGCATCACTGAGAAAATCCTGGCTACATCTTCTTTGCTCCCCCCATCATGTATCTATCCACATAGATAAAAGCCTTCTCTTATCCAGGCTCTCTCAGCTTCTCCCTGTAACAAAGATGCTCCAGCCCCTTCATCTTTGTGGCCATGCACTGGACTTGCAGTATGACCACGTCTCTTGTACTGGGCAGCCCAGCACTGGACTGTGCATTCAGGATGCACATCACTAGTACTGAACAGAGAGAGAAGACTTCTTTCATCCCACTGGCAGCTGATCAAAACACTTTGAGACTGGCACTTCAGCTAGTGTTCAGTCTACCTCATTGTCCACCTACCTAACCCATAGCTCACCAGAGAGGGTTTTATGGGACACAGCATCAAAAGCCTTGCTAAATCTGCAATGAGCAATATCCACTGCCCTTCCCTCAGCCAATCAACAAGTAATCTCTCTGTAAAAGACCATCCAGTTGATCAAGAATTCCTCCTTCACAAAACGATGCTGATTAAACCCAAATGCCTTCTTGTGCATTAAATATGAAGAAGAAACTCTTTACTATGCGGGTGATGAGGCACAGGAACAGGTTGCCTGGAGAAGCTGTGGGTATTCCATCCCTGGAAGTGTTCAAGGCCAGGTTGGATGGGGATCTGAGCAACCTGGTCTAGTGGAAGGTGCCCCTGCCCCCTGAAGGAGGATTGGAATGAGATGATCCTAGGGTCCCTTCCCACACAAACCATTCTCTGATTCTATGATTGTCTTTAAGATGTCTGGAAATGGTTTCCAGGCTCATCTATTCCACCTTCTCTGGGGGTCAAGGTAAAGCTGAGGAGCCTGTAGGTCCCAAGATTTTCCTCAACTGATATTTGATTTTCTTCCAGTCCTCAGGAATTTTCTCCACTTGTCTTGTGCTTTTAAAGATATTCAAGAGTAGCCTCACAATGACACAGTACACTGCATAGACAGCTTGGGAAATGCAGTATTCCAGTGCAGACTTCTGCCTTCAACAGAACAACCTGCCCAAAGAGTCTGTAGTTTGTTCCTCAACAATCTTAAAACATCTAAGATCTAGGACTGCATGACTGTTACTCTGAGTAATGACTGAAGCATACGAATTGGATTAGCAGCCATAGGCACAAGGGGAAGCATGAGGGACAGCCAGTTGTGACACTAATAGAGTGCTGGCAGCAGGGACAGCATCCCCCTATAGCACAGGGCTAAACCACCCCATCTCCTGTGCTTCCAATGCAAGGACTGCAACATCAATGTGTAAAATCAGTTGCAAAAGCCCTCACTGACCAAGAAATCATATGGATTAGAAAGGCACACCACTTATCTCCCGAACCCTCTCAGGAGCAGCTGTGCTGCAGCACAAGTGATTTTGTTCACAGACAAGCCTAAACTGCCTAAGCTGCACCACCACACCCGAGTACAGTCCGATTTTTTTCTTCCCTCTCTCAACTCCTCTAGCTCAGTAGGTGAGATGGATTTAAAACAAACAAAAAACCACCAAAGCCCAACGGTACTGAATTTAAACTAGACACCCACGATTACATTTTCAGTAGCTAAGCTATAAAAGAAGAAAGATAAAAAATAAAATTTCAGAAGTGTGAAGGTTGTCACTAGAATATTTTTATCTCAAGTGAGTCACAAAGACTGAGCAGTAGGATTTTTTTTCCCTAATAACACTGCAAAAAAAACCCTTAAGAAACTACCACCCCAAACCAAGACAATGAGAAAGCTAAAAGCTACACAAAGCTTAATAAAGACATTGGTTCCTGCAGCATGTTGAAAACAACAGACTCTTCTTGCACAGACACAGAGAGGTATTTTATTAGAGTGAACAAACCCCACCTCTCCTAATCCAGAGCAGGAAAGTTACAGGGACCAGAGCAGCCTGTAGGCATTTGACAGTAGCTGAAAGGGTCATTATGGCACCTTCCCTATACAAATCCAAAGTACTAAGAAAGCACATTCCTGATAAGGAGGAACGGGTACATGAACTCTAAACAAAGCCTGGAAGAACAGGAAAAGAAAACTGCAGGAGAGGAAGGGACAAAGACCACCTACTCACTGACCAAAAAGACTGCAACTCAGGGTTTAACATCACTGCAGTGTATGCCCCCAAGTGTCTGCTACAAGTTGGAAAAAATGGCTTGTTAAGAGATAAATAGCAATTCTTCACATACGCAACAAGTCCTAGATTAAAACTCCTGGTTTATGCCATGTACAGATTTTTCTCTAAAGAAACCTACTTTTCCATCTTCATGAAATAGACTTTTAAAAGATGTTTTTCTGACAAAATTTTTAGTTTTGTCTCAAAGTTTAATATTAAGTCCATAATGACAACAGTAGAAAGAATTCAGGGTAAAGGTTTTGTCTTTTTAAATGCAAGGTCAGAGTGCACAGTCAAAGAAAGCTCTGCCATCCCCTCGATAGGGACAGAGGGTTGTTTAAAGTGCAATTTAGTAGCAATTTTAAGACATCCATTTCTTTTCCTGCAGCTGTTACCACACTTTGAACAGCACTGGTACCACTCCACTCTGAAATCAGATTCTGCCTGAGTGCCAGATCTCTGTGGCTGAGAGTCCTTTGCTGGATATTTTCATTGCAGTAAAACTCTTAGAGCCAGAGGCAGGTCAGCGAGATTGAGATGGCTTGTGAGATCATCACGGGAAGAATGAATCATCTGCCTTGGAAATATAAATGTTTATGATCACTGCTTCTATTCTGCACATATATTCTTGAGACACACAACTTTTACAAGGGTGTTGATATTTATATAATTCCATAAATTTAGACAGTGCATTACAAACACAGTATGCAGTTGTAGTTATAAACAGTGGAACAGCGGGACAGAATTTTCAACTATTTCTTGTTTCCTGTATTCCACAAATGAGATGTGTGGCACAAGTTAAGGAACTACAGGAAAGAATATTCAGTTATTAGGCAATAACAAACCCCATGTGAGTCTCCATATTTTAGATGGTGAAATGGAAGGTTAGACATCCACCAAAGTATAAACAAAAAAAAAAAACACCCCAAACCAGCATGAAACCAAACCTTGTCCCTGAGATTTAACTGCAACATTTAACCATGACTAAAAGACAAAGAGCAGATTCTCAAGTGGAGGTTTTGAGAATAGATTTTTTGTGGCGTATTTTCAGTCTGAATGTGACAAACTAACACCTGCCCTTGGCAAGAAGTATTCTGGCAAACAAATGCACAATGTAATCGAAAGACTAAACTTGCTTCTAAACCTTGGCTGCTACTTTTTTTAGTGCTCATGGTGCTATGGATGTATGCACAAACCCATGGAAAAAAAACAAAACACTGAGTGCTGTAGGAGCATCATAACAACATACCAAGGAAGACATTATTCCAGGAGGCCAATTAATAAATTCCCAATGTATATTAAACAGGGAAAAACCAGTAACTCTTGGTAAACTTTCTAAACTTTGATAATAGTATTAAGGGTTTGCTTGAAGAGTTAGATTTGTCAGGCAAACTGTAACAGTAGTTAAGGCCTAAGGCTTAATATTGGTACCTGAGGTCAACCAGCAACCTAGCACTGATGCAAGCAATTATAGCATCTTTATTTTCATTTTTTAAGGCTTCTTCCATCATTCTGCACCCTCATTTCCATTTCTCTGCTCAATTAACATTAGTTCAGAGAGGAGGAGACTCCTGGTATAAGCAGTACTTTTAGAGCCAGGTCAGTTTTATCTTCCATTTAATTTATTTTACACTGGATATATCGGATTTCTATTGGATATATCTTGTAACAGCTGAAGTAAAAAAAAAAAAAATGTGCACTGAACTGTCATTTCAAAACTACACTGAAATACTTCTGGACACTCAAGATACTCCAGACACACCAGACCATGACTTCATATGAGAAAGATCTGTCCTACCACAACACTACTTGGCTCTGGTGACAGACACTTCATGAGAAGGTAAAACTTTCAGATCTCTGAAGCTTGAAAGTGGGGATCTGCACCTACTCTAGGAAAGGTCATACTCTGTGCCACTGCTGCATTTGTGCCATGGAGAAATGGAATTACTCGACATGGATGGTGTTTTCCAAGGAAGTGGCCACTTAAAAGAGATCAGGAAAGTGGTTCTAACAGCTCTCAGCATGTACTTTGATGATTTTTTTGTTATACTGATGTGTTTCAAAAATCATCAGTCAGGTAGAAAATGTGAACCTTTGCTTTACTGTCCACAGCAGACATGCTCTATGGTGCTCCTTCACACTGAACTAATGGGGTTTCCCACGTGTCCTCATCTGCCAAGTGAGCCGTCTGTGAAGTTTGATCCACAGGTTCTTTCTCACCCTGGGCTACTAATAATGCATCTTCTTGTCCTCTGGCTAACTGAAGGTCAGAGATACAAGAATGATTAGATTCATTGAGTTTGTCCATTGAAGACCCTGCTGTAGTTGCAGAGGGCTGTTCAGTTTCTGTTTCAGCTTCTGGTTCTGCTTTAAAATGAAGTCCAAACATGTTATTTCTTATGAGGTATCGAACACATTGCAAAATCACATTCCTTTCGTGTCGGATGTCTTGGGCCAGTAACTGGAAAGATAAAAAAAAAGAGAAGATGATGCAAGTTTCCCTCTATTGCTCTGCAGCTGATACAAGCACAGCAACATGTATGGCTCTACTCAGTAATTTCCAACATCTCTGAATTTAAATAGTTGGCTCTCTCACACAAGTCCTGGCCACATGGGGCTGGAGACTGCCATACCAGACACAGCACAGGAAAGCCATGTATTCCCACCAACTGCCCAGGGCTTTGGCAGAGCCAGCGTGCATGTTTGACAGCACTCCCACTCAGCTTGCTGGGCTGAGCGATCTAAGGGCTTGCTGTCCCCTTCCTCACATCAGCTCACACTGACCAGACCCCTTACTAAACCAGTTCAACTCAGTAGCCAGGAAAAAAAGAAGCTGACAATTAGGAGCAACTAGTGGGGTGTTTTGGGATTTTTTTACTTTTTGCTTGGGTGGGTTTTTTTAGGGGTCTGTCTTGTCAAAAACTGAGCAGGGTCAGCATATCAGAGAAGAGGTGAGACCAGGGAGGAGGCAGCAGGCAGGGAGCTGCCCTTCTGGCACAGGTTGGGGCTTGCTCTAGTGATAAAGGCTCACTATGGCCATAATTTATTATGGATGAAAAAGGATGAAAAATACTCACATGCCCGAAGTGCACATGTTTAAGCACCACTCACTTAGCACCATTAATGCAATAGGTGGCTAGATCAAGCTGACAAATTAGGTGGTATCTTTGGATTAAGTGGTCAGTCTGTTTGCTCAGGTGGCAGGCAACATCATGGGATATGCCTAAGTACTAGGGATTTCCTCCCCAGTTATCTGACTTGTGACCAAGATGGTGATGTTCTTGTATCATGGACTATAATACTAGGCCATGCATTTAGTACATACGGTTAACAAGTCTAGTAGCATCTTCTACACTTTCTAAGTTATACTGTATCTGTAATTTAATACCCCATGCATTTTCAATAGAAACCCCCTATGAGTAAAAGATAAATGCAAGGAAAGGACATGTTTCATCAGGTACCAGACTGTGGATCTAAACAGCAATAGCTCGTTTGGGTTATAATCCACCAACCTAGTAGCTTAATCAAAGTGGCCTCCCTTAAACAAAGACCTCCCTCATCTCCTTCAACCTCACTGACATTCATTTTGGTAGTAGGAAAAAAGACCAATCAGCCAGAGAGCTGAATGAACTTCTCATTGTGAGTGTCAGCAGAACTAGTACTCTGAACAAACAAATTTAAAGCAAGGGGCTAAATCTGTAACTACCTGATCATTTGCAGGAGAGCTGTACTACACATTTCAGGAGATGTGGCTAAATTTGACTTGCAATGTCACAAAGAACTTTTTTTTGTTGTTACAAGTTTCAACAGATTCAAACCAGCCACTTTAAAGTGTGCATATTTCTATTTAGACTAGTTACTAAAAGGTGTTACAAGCAGCTGACACCGAAAATGTGCCTTCAGGAATCTGCCATTCGAGCTAAGAGATGTACACTAGGGCAGAGAAGTGACAGTGTAGTGATGTTCTCTTTGCCCAACTGGGAGAAACTGCTGAATTCCCAAATGGCCAAATAAGGCACAGATGGGATGCACTATCACCCTGTCAAAGACTGTATCTCTGTATTATATTTTTTAATGCAGGGATGGGTATCAGTGAAGTGATGCTACACAAGCTTTTCATTTTGAGCATAGAGAATGGCTAAATATGTCTTACTGCTTGCATGGCTACATTAAACATGTTTTAGTAGTGCCCAGGCTTGCTGCCGAGTGACAGTCCAGAGGTATCTGCAGCTCTTCCCCTGCCTCCCTTTCTTTCATTTTCTGATACAACATCCTTTTCTTACCATTCCAATTCCATACTTTTTGGATGCATTTTGTAAAATTTCAACCTTGCTCCCTCAAGGTTTTTACACACTGACCATTTCTGATGACAGTGGAAGTCTACCTGCAAACCTCAGGCACTCCTCTGTGATTCACAGCCACAGGACACATCCTTTAACAATATTTTTTAACAACATTAAAAGGAAAAAAACCTCACTAATATGCCATATTAAAAATGGACTACACTGGCATGCTACAACTGAGGTTTCCAATGTTCTGCCAGCTTCTCTCAGCATGTGGGACTTCATGTGACTTTCTTCTAGAGTCATCACTGCTTTGATCACCAGCAACTTTGAAGAGCAAGAGATAAAGGCAATTGCATGCCTAGGGAGCTACACAAAGGACAAACACTTCCTTTTCAGTTACTAGGAGCTTTAATTCTTGGCAGCAATGGTACTACGTGCTAAAAAGACTATCAAGGGATTTCTCCCACATCTGCAGCTTGGGAAGTGCCTTATCAGGTATCTCTTGCCTAAACATTCTGTGCTATTTCAGAGCCCTGGTGTCAATGGCATCCTCCTTTCTCCTGTGTTCTGCCCACAGCAAGTTCTCCCTTGATAGGGGGGCTTTATGCTGACTCTTTACAGAATCACGAGGGTATCCTACCTATCTGATGCTGCTTTTGAGTAATAGATGCAATGAAAGCTCCAAAGTTTTGTTGGAGCTCTCTAAAGAAAGCCACCAAGCTTTCAAATAGGTTGCTTTGTGCTGCTACAGAGAACAGAATCATAAGCACCTTGGACTCATCCCTACAAACCTCTTTCCACCCTTCTGAGACACCAACCTGCTGCTCTTCAAGGTACCAGTGCTGTCACTTCCTCACATTGATCTAAACATATCTAGAGAAGTAACCCCTGTGCATGCAGGTTGCAGCTCTACACCACTCTACAGTGTAAGTTACCAACACACTTATCAACAAGATCTCTTTGCACCTGAAAAAAAGTGTGTTCCTTGATCAGAGGAAGGCAGCTGAATAGCAAAGCTGGGAGGCAAAGGTAGGAAGATCAGCACAATACCAATGGGATCACACACAAACAAAACCTACTGAATGCTAATACAGGGAAGCTAAGAGAGAAGAACAAACATTTTGTCCTTTGTGCAGCTCATTTTAGGCACATGATAAAGTTGTCATCTCTTGCTCACCAAAGTCAATCATTGCCTGAATGCACACCAAGTTATTTCTATTTGTCTATTTAAGCATCTACACCTTCTCCAAGTGAAATGCTCCCTTTGCTGCTTTTAAGACCAGCTAACAGTCTCTGCTAACAGACAGCTCTCACTACCTGCAGGGAAGAGAACCACTCACAAATAGTGCTATCCTTGTACAGGAGGCACTATTTTAGCACGAAGACTTACCATTTCCAGTAGAGTTGGACGGCGCTTGGGAAGGGGAGCTAATGTTTTCTTGCCCCAGTTACCAGGCCCTCTGGGGCGACGTGCTTTTGAATTCGAGTTTCTTAGCTTCGTGCCTGCGTATTCCGGACGTTTTTGATTTGGGTTTCGGCTCCAAGGAGCATAAGCAGTTTGAGGCGTATTTCTGAGCACAGCCTGGTTTTTCTCAGCTTTTGTTGCAGTCTTGACAGGGATTTCTTAAAGAAAAAGAACACACTTTCATCTCAAACTTGAAAGCCTCTTTAACATGCTTATATCCCCATGCATTGGCAGTTCGGTAGTACTATTCTGGCTCACATAACTTGATGTGAAAATGTTCAAGGTTTACCTGAAGGACGGGAGAATTCTGTTTGGTTTGGGTTTTCTTTTTAAACACAAACAAGAATCTCTAAAAACTCACAGAAAAGAAAACAAGATACTTAAATTCCGCAATGCAAAAGAAAAATAGAAGGAATGAATGAGATTTTCAAACCTCTGTCTGCTTATCACTTAGGAAGCACCTTGTTTTCTGCTTCACATTATAGCTTGCTGCAAATTTGGCTGCTGAGAAAAGTGTGATACAGCTAGGGCAGGGGATGCCCAAGTTCAAGTTGCTGCCTGCTAGATGCTCTCAACTTTGGGTAGGCCACCCAAAGGCATAGTAACTATCTGCAAAAACAAGTAGCAGCAGCAATTCTGCACCATACACTGATGTGTACACTCAGAGAAGCACAAAATCCAAATACTAGAGAGTTCAAGACTTACTGCAACACCCAGCAGCTTTCTATGGAAAAAGCCCTTAAGGACATGGAAATTAGTTCACAGGATGAACATAACATTTTCCTGGCACTATTCAAACATGATTTGAAGCAAGACTGAAAATGGGCTGCTTATTTTTCCCCAAGCAGGGAGAAAAAGGCTGGGGAAATTCGATGACACACAATCTAACCAAAGACATTTTATGCCTCTCCCCTCAAGGCAGGACATGTTGCTGAGAAAAGGCAAGCAAAAAAGGGGGAAAACCCCCCCACATATCTTGCTTGCAGTCCACATCAATGCAGTGTGACACAGGGTAGAAGGGGAGAGGACAGGTGCAAAGGCCATGCTTCTACACACCTTCAGGCTCGCTGTCGGATGCGCTGCCATAGTTGACTGACAAGGAGCTCAGGGCAGAGGTCACCTGCTTGGGAACAACTGTAAATCCCAGCTTCCCACCTTCATCAGCTGCTTCGTCCTTGTCAGATTCTGCAGGGAAAGAAAAGGCAAGAGGGATTTTTCCCAATAATCCTGCATGTCAACAGCCAAGCTTGTTGGTAAATCCCTATCTCACCACCACAGAAGCCTGAAGTTGGGCACCATTGCTCAACACTGTGTACCGATAGAAAAAAAACTTGTGTCTCCACTGTCCTACCAACAAAGCTACAGAAACAAAGTTTCCTGAACACCAGCTTGAGCTTTCTGCTTCTTTCTTCACATAACAAACATAATTACAGGTTTTATTATCAAGTGTAGGTAAAGAGAAAGAGAAGATTCATAATATGTTTTGAAGTCTTGCTGGATTTAGTCCTGCAGAGGCAGGGGGTGGAGGAGAAGCATTTAAAAGCCAGTCAGGGGGAAGGGAAAAAAAAAAAAAAAAAAAAGGAAATAAAAAGGAGTATTCAGATCATTCATAGTGAGAACTAAAGAGAAAATAAATTTTTGTATCGTAAAAAAAGTTCATAAGGGACACTGAGAAACAAGACTGCAAATTAAGATGATCAGTTTTGAGTAGTACTTCAGATCATTTGATACTTAAATCCCTGCAGATGCATGAATAAGCAAGGTATTGCAGTCTCAAGCTACCCCAAAAGAGAATACTGGGAAGACCAGAGACAAGCAGACCAAAAATACTGAAATTGAGGATACTAGGAAAACACAGCCCTAGCAGAAAAAGATCCTTAAAAACAAACATGCAAAATTGTGGCGACTTTAGTTTGAAACAAAAGATCTATATGGACTAAAATCTTGGAAAGACTCTCAGGTGAACAGTGAAACAGTTAGCAGGAAAACTAGGAAATGCTTTATAGTAATACACCTGCACATAAATTTTGTATTTTTTACATACAGACATACACACACAACTCCCCACTACTAGCAACATACTGAGAAACTAAGTCTGTTGAAGCTTCTAGAAAAAGACTGGTTGCAGTCTTAATTTCACAAAGCGAATAAAGAGTTGTGCCCTTTCCCATCCACTGTGAGTCTAAGCCTGCCCCCCAGGAAAGCTGTCTCACACTTCTTAAGGTGATTATACTAAAATAAAGACTTCTGAGATCTTTATTGTGAAAACAAATTTGTCTATTTTGTCTTAATGTGACATTAATAGTTGGCAATTTGATTCATTGGAACTGATGTTTGGTGAAACAACTTTTTGGTAAATACACTGGTATTTCTCTAAACCACTTACCTGCCTCTTTTTACTTTTTGAGAAAGGTCGATTCTCTGATTTAGTAATGATGCCAACTTGCAACTACATTGGCAGCTCATGCCAAACGCAGTGCATTTTTGTAATGGAGAACACATAGCACCTGCATATACTTGTGCAATTATAAAGTATCATTTAGTTTCAGTCATTTTGATTAATTGCTGCTTTTTTCTGTCTCACCCAAAATGCTGAGTGCATACTGTGGTTGGGTGCCTTTTCTTTCTACTTTTGTTGAATTTTAAAGACTTACTCTTACTTAGAAAATTAGGAAAACACATTTACTGGAATCCATTTTCTCTTTGAGAGTAACACATTTGCAGCAGGTGTTATATTCTACTGAATACAACTGTTTCTGGCCAGTAGGTCCCTCCAAATTTTACACCTGACAGGCTCAGCACCTTACCCTGTTTCTGCTTATCAATCAAGAGGAAAATTCTGTTTCCTCATCTACTATTCAATTTCTTAACTTTCAATTTCTTAGCTTTTTAGCCACTAAATAGAACTTAAGTAAATGCACTACATAAAACATAGATTTCCTCTGAGATAGGGCTGCTGCTGTTAAAGGGTTTAAATACTCCAACAAAATGTATCTATACAGCAGAATCATAGATTTAATTTCTTAGAGTTTTTTTTTAATTCTAATTAGTTATATTGTATTTGTTATTATTTGTTATGACTGTATTTCTCAATGGTAGCAACTGGTTTTAATAATGTGTAATAAGCAAGTGCCACATTCCTTTTCCACCTATTATAGCAGAAGTTACTAGCTGTACTTTGGTATCATTAGACCTTTTATCATTAAGTAAAACACAGATGCTGCAGGGACATACAGATATATTTAAGCATACTTAAGTTTCCCAGCACACAGATTACTGGAATAAACAAATTGCATAGGGATGCTGAGTTCTTGTTCCCACTAATTGAAGATTATGTTTTCAAGAGGAAAAACTCAGCATCAGACGTCTTTCCAGGGGATGCATTCTAGCCTTGTTGCTAAAAATAACTAGAGTATAAGTCAGCTTACATGCCATATTCCAAGAGTACTGCATCACTGCTGACTTTATTATAAATAGTTATATCTAGAGAGTTTATATTGCTGCCAGCATGTGGAAACAAGGCATGCTCACCAAAAAAAACCTAAGCAGCAATACTTCAGAGAGCACATGCATATGGAGAATATGAAGAGCATTAATATAGCAAAAAAATCAGTTTGAGAACAAAAAATACTGACATTTTAAGTAATTCATTTAACTCATACAGGGAAATCCATTTGTTTTCACATTCTAAATACTGTCATTTTCAAAACCACAAAGGGATATTTAACAGCCTTTAAAAAATAATTTGATCATGCTTTATTCTTCTTCTGGCTTTATAAAGATTTTCCTATTTTATGTGTTAGTTGAGCAACCTAAGTCAGTGCATGTCCTTTATACTATTGTATTTACATCAGAATGTGCAATGCTGCACAAAAACTTTGTCAGACTTCCAAAATGCTGACTAGCAAGCAAAAGTCTCAGCATCTAAACTTACAACAACTATCTGAACGAAAGGTTCTCCACGTTCCTTCATCTTACCAACATCACCGTTTGCCAGAAGACCAAGAGGGTCAACATCCTTCTCATCCGTTTGACCTGCCAATGCAGGCTGTCCCTCATGTTCCTTTTCACACACGCTGTTTTCTGGTCCATTGGCTTCATTTTGAGATCTGTGTACATTACAATCACCATCGTTTTTCCTAAATTTCTTCCAGAACGGGCGCCATTGTCTTCTCCTGTGTCTTCCTTGATGCCCAACAGACTCCCCATTTTCTGGAGGTTTCCACATCCCCTTCATTTTGCTGGAGAATAGAAACACAAAGTTCATACAAATCATAAGCTGCAAGAATAAAATCAATTGATGTAACCAAATGGCTCAGGCACACGCTTAAGATTCAGTAACACAGAATGATGCCAGGACTTATACCAGCTCAGCTAACACATGGTGACAGACCAGACAGGCAGTCACAGCTCAGCTCATTGGCAGGGCAATGTGACAAAGCTGAAATCTGAATGAACAGTTTCAAGTTCATGATTTTTAGCTTTTAACAAGGCTAGGGGTACCTAGGCTAAGCAAGTTCTTTGATCATCTACAGTGTGAGGACATGGTGTTTTCATTTCAGATTATGAAGTCAACATACATTCCCTTCACTTAGGCATTTAAGTCACTGAAAACAGTGGGATCAGAAAATTAAAAAGAAAGCATCTACTATAAGCATACTTCCACTGCTGAAGTATTTTTCTAGTTACAGCTCAGAGACGCATCTTGCTGCACTAAATGCATTGAGCCACCCAACACCATCAGTTAAAATTACTACCTGTTCTTGCCTCCAACTAACAGGTCATTCATCTTTTTTTCCAAGGAAAACAAATAAAGGAAATGTCTATCAGGACAATGAATTTTTAAAAACCTGAAACAAGTAACAAGTTCTAAAATACAGGAAGAGCACAGCATGCTGGTTCCACTTATCTTCCATAGTTCCATAATCTTCCAGGTTTATCCTATAAACACAGACCATATTTATAGAAAGATACCCAGGAAACTTAACAGACTCTGGTCAAAATCTAGAGATACAAGTGTGACCAAGACGGAAAAGCCAATAGAGAAGGGACAACCTGAGCTTCCTGAAAATAGTTATTTTTAAGCAACAGAAACTTAATTCAGCAAAACAAGACTGTAACTAATCATCACTACATTACAACAACAAGAACCACACAAGATCATTCCTATCAATACCCCCTGCCTCAGACTCACCTGCAGCATGGCAGAGGTGCTATCATCCCTAGTCAACCAAGAGCCTTATGCTGTGGAATACTGTGTTAATGCCTGGCATCCCTGAAATCTTGCAGCAAAGTGATAATATTTTGGGAAAATGGACTTCTTTCGGTCTGACTTCATTCTGAATTCTAAAACAGTCACTTGGTACCCTATCCTTCTTGAGTCACAAGAAACAGTGTAGAGCTACACTCTATTCACCTCTTCCACCTACACAATTTTCCTAGGCCTCCATCATACAGCCCTTCTAAGCCACCCACTACTTTGCTTGTACAGAAATGTTCCCATTACCAGCATTCCTCTTTTCCATGCTCTTCCTGCCTAATTAAGTCCTTCTTGAAAAGAGAACAGGGCCTGTCATAGCATTCAAAATAGCTTTGTATTGCAACAAAACACACTTAATTTCATTCTTCAGTCATTTCATGACAGCATCTAACACTGATTGCTCAGCTCTGATAGCATCACCCACCACAGTGCTCCTGTGGCACAAGTGGCAAGCCACTGCCTTCCTGTGCATCCATCTGTCATCTAAAACGAAGGCTAATATTAGCTGCTACAATTCAACTCCATTTAGAGAGGAAACTGCATTTCTGAATTGGTACAACCAGGCTCTAAATTCATGCTGTATAACCTAGAAGATATTGAGCAAATATAGGTTCAATTAGAGGTTTTGTCCTTGACCAAGGGTTAAAAACAACATTCTGAGTTCTCTGGGGCCTCAAACATCCAGAAAGAAACCCCAAGGTCACAAACATCCCAACAAACACCAGCCTGGCATCTGCCTTCTGCTGTTCCCTTGTGCACTTCCCATTCAGAGAGCATAGACAACCGTGTGCTAGTATTCAGCTGTTGCCAGACACCAGACAGAGTACCAAAGTGGTCCTTCCTGCATCTCTAATCTCACACACGGGGATGCTGAGAATTAGCAGTTGTAATGCACTTCAGAGAACCACAAATGGAAAGCGCCGTAGAAGTGTTAAGCATCTAATCCTTTCTAAATCTTACTTAGCTATTTGCTTTAATAGTACAGCTTGCAGAGAACAAGCTGTATTCTATTTTTGCCTCATGCATCAGTAAATTTGCCAGATAAGCACCAATTCCAGAGTCTATACTGTTGACATACAAAGCAGAGATGACAACTTTTGGACAGTTCATCCAGTCTATACTGCTAGCAGCTGGGAAGGGAAGAGAGTTCTAGAATCAACCAGAGCAAAAGGTCACAAAGTGAAAGCAAATAACCTATAATTCTGAGGCCTTTCTTTTACCAAACAATTTTCCAGATACAAAGCTACTAACAAATGTAGTAGCATGGAATTGCTGATGGACATTTAAGACTGCATCCATCTGACTCACAGCCATAAGAGTTAGCAAATAAACCTGTACGGAAGAGAGTTCTAGAATCAACCAGAGCAAAAGGTCACAAAGTGAAAGCAAATAACCTATAATTCTGAGGCCTTTCTTTTACCAAACAATTTTCCAGATACAAAGCTACTAACAAATGTAGTAGCATGGAATTGCTGATGGACATTTAAGACTGCATCCATCTGACTCACAGCCATAAGAGTTAGCAAATAAACCTGTACACACCAAACAGTTTGCTATTGTGACAAGGAAAACTCATTTTCACTCATAAAAGTCTCCAAACATAATATTACATATGTTTGTGATTTAGTCTCAATGCCTAGGTTTGGTTCCTTGGTTTCACAGCACTTCTGCAACTTTATATCCTTTGAAGGAAGTTTTACTTCAGTCTTTCATAAGTCTTTCCTTTCAAAGTCATGAAAGGCAACCAGTTGGAAGAGGCAGGTAAGTCCTGGGTCTTCTGAAGCACATGCTGCACCAAGGTAATTTGCACTGTCAACATTTAACAGATTACACTAGCCTCTTATTCTGCACTAGTTCAACTGTTTCACCATGGTGCAAGCTTTGTTTGGTGTCATCCCCTATAAAAAAAGAAAAAGGTAGGCAACCTCCAGCTTCACTTCCCTGCAGCAGCAATCGGCATTTAGCAAGAGCCCCTTCGGACTGAGTCTCCTCCTGCCTTCCAGCTCAGTCATTCTAGTTTAAACAAGTGATATTTTAGGAGTGTGGTTCATTGTAACATCTTTTTCACAAAAAGTCTTCCCATGGGTCCTGAAGTAGAGCTAATGAAGTTACCTGGTTCTACCTAACAATGACACTGAAGGAAAAGAACAAAACCATAGTGGAAAGTAATTTACAATGTAAGAGAGAGCACAGATAAAAATCCAAGAGGAGTACATATTAGCTCAGAACAATGGTGGCAGATAAAGATGATGGAGGGTAGAAGAAAGAAGCAGCACTATATAAGTAATACTGAAAACTGTATGAAAATAAAACTAAACCCTTCTTCCCTCCTCACTTGATTTATTGATTTATCATCTGAAAGGAGAGACTAAGAAGCCAAGGCTATTCATAAAATCTCCCATGTCCATTTTCAGGCATTAAAGGATTAGACCATGTAGATTCATTATGTTGCATGACTTTTGTCCCCATTACTACTTTTTCAGAGACCAAGGTCATGCTGATCTAATGAATGGCCACTAGAATCTGGTTTTCTCAAACAAGCCAGAGTACAGAATTAAACAGAAATATTTGATTTTCTAATAGTTATTGTTGCATTTAACTGAAGTGGACCTTGAAGTACTGTGAAGTAAACTAAAGAATATTACATCTGCAGTTTGTCAAAAGACCTGTCCTGTTAAAAGGCAGCTAGATTGTGTATACAGTGGAAGCAGTAAGTGCTGGGAGACCACAGTAAGAGAGCACACTTCTGAATTCCGTAGAAGGAAAGCAACAATCTTGGTTCAAAACACTTACCCAAACTGTTGGGTAGTCAGCACTTCTCCCCTTTCCTCCTTCTCCATCTGCATTGCCTTCTTCCTTTCAATGTTTGCCAAAGTAGGAAAATTTCTAAAAGAAAAATAAGTTTCACTGTCTCTGAAATGATTCACTCCATTTTCTCAATTCCCCCTTTACCAAAACAATATCCTCTATAAAACATCACAGAATTTTAAAACCTTTCATGGAAGCCTAACAGACTGTTGGTGAGGAAAAGAAACTTGAGAGCATTTATGCTTATATGTCCAGATGCACTCAAAAAAAAAAAAAAAGTTATACCAAATTAGCATGCTTAGATTTGCCAAACCATCACACAAACAGTTTAGTTACAGTAATGGACCCTCTGCCTTACCCAGCACATAACAACATGATTTAGTCCTCCAATTTTATTTTTATGGAGCTTCAAATGGATTATTTAAATGACATTAAAAGGTACAACATGCCTTTAGGAAACTAATTGCTGAGCTCTTGTAATATTAAAAAAAAGGTTATATGAACAGCTTCTGGGTGCACAAGATTCCTGTAATGTGACAGTTAGGGAAAAGCACACAAGCTTCCTCTCGAGCAATAGTTGGCATTGTGATTGCACACTGACCTCTAGTTCACCAGAATTACTGCCCCTTGTTAATTCCAGCTTCAAGAAAAATTGTGAAGTCATGCAGATCAAAAGAAACCAACTGTTAAAACCATCTCCCAAACCATCCCTCTCCTCCATTCCCCACCTCCCTACAGACAAACACCACGCTGGTTCTAACATGCAAAGCCTGTGCAGCAAGCTTTTCACTGTCAGAGCCCCAAAATGGCTACACTAGTTGCTCTGCAAACATTAGTTTGCTAAATCTCAGTGGTTTAAGATAAAGGTGGTAAATGAGAAGCACACACGCATATTCCCCACCCCCTGGGCTTCTGGAGAGAAACACAAAGTATAAATATTTGATGGCTATTAAAACGGAGCAAAGAGAAACTCAGAACAGCTTCTCACTACACACAGCTATCAAAAAGGACACATATCTTTCTTTAAATATTTAATCTTATCACATGCATTTTCCTCATTTTACAACATGAATGTTAAGTGTCACATTGATTCAAGATAGCTTCAACCACATACCAAGGGAAAAAGAGAAGCATTTTTTCTACAAGACAAACCTAAACATGCTACAGAACTTGTCTCCTTTAAGAGGATTGGAACATGAGCTGTCAACATCTATTTTCACTGGATTTCTCCCAGAAATCCGCCACACAGCCCAAGCAAGCGCAGGGATGTGATGTTCTGTCTCTACTCCTCCCTGTTAGCTACATTTGTTCATCCATGTTATAACACTCCCAGCACACAGCAAGCATGCAATGAACTATTTAATCTCAAGAGCTTCACATTGGCCAAGACCTCTGTGCTTGGCACCTCTCCACAGTTTTAGGATAAGGTGCCTTCCTTCACACACAAAGCTCACAGGAGGAGAGTGAGCTATAAAATAAGTAGTTATGCACAAAAAAAATCCCCAAGCTTGTCTTAAATTGGGTTTTTTTAAACATAAGGGAAGACCCTAAATCCTGGAGCAAAAAAGTCTTCAAAGTGCTCCAGTACTTATGCTGATGAAGGACATATTCAGACACGCTCTCACAACATGATTTGAGACACTGCCTCCCACCTTCATTCCTATGAGTTACCACTCCCTCCACAGAGACACCATAATGGACTTTCTGTTCGATTCATTGCCAAGACTGACAGATTTCCCCTAAACCACCCTTCCAGTTGACACAGGCAGTAACTAACAGCTGGCAAGACCTCAAGCGGCAAGTCCAAGTATGCTTGCAGAAGCACATCTGAAGACACTTGTAGTGGCTGTATTTATTTTCTCCAGCTCTTGTCAAATGTTAAACAGCATTTTACTCAGTGCTTTTACCTCATGACGAAAATGTACCTATTCTGAGAGCTGTGTTTCACTTCATTCACAACGAGCACCTGCAAGTTTATTCTTCCATCTATGGACCTGGTAGCAGTAAGCTCTAGACATTCGAGTGCACAATTTACCAGCCTTGGTACAAGGTAGACTGGGTTCACTCCTGCCCAGGTGCTCTGCTGTATGAGAAGATTAAGCCCACCAGTGGGTCCTAGTAGACCTGTCCAAGGCAGCTCCAGTTATCCCTGCAAGGAGCAAGTAGACCAAAGAGGCATGGAGCAAAGTTAGCCACCCACTCCAAAGTACCAGCCTCAGTGCAACTCCAGAACTCATGAGGTACTGCAGCCCCAGTGAAGAGAGGTCTCCACACCTCCTAGCATCAGCTAGACCTACACATGGAGGAAGAAAGTTCAACTGGACCCTATGTGGAGGCAGATGCCTGCAGTGGAAACATGGTTTTGAGGTACAGCTTTATGGCAGACTTTGTAAACTTCACTATCTAAATGACAGTCACAAAGTACTGAAGAGAGGAATTTAATCTTTTTATATATAGAATTCTTATTCAGGAAGGCTAAATTTAGGAAGACTGCTCCTGAACAGAGGCGTGACAGTGCAGAAGAAAGAGCCTATACTGACAGTCTCTCCAGATAAAAGGTCATGTGTTTAATTCCAATAAGCTGACTTGGGTTTGAACCCCCCTAAGATGGCATGCCCTCCTTCTTCCTTAATAAAGTGAGATTCTTAAAATGTTACCTACAAACACTACTGAAGTAGAAAAAAGTAGCCCAGCACTTATGTCCTGCAAACAACTTGTCAGAGCTTGAATACAAAGAGCTTCATCAGTCCCCACAAAGGCTTTACAAACCTAAGCAACTTATTGTAAAAGCGAGTTAAACCAGAATGGTCTGGCACAGCAGATTTCATGAAGCCACTGCTGCCTGAGAAGGCAACCCCATTTCACAGCAGCTGCAGTTTCCAACTATGGACACTTCTGCAATACAAACTGGAAGTTTTTCAGTATAAAATTGTCAGCATAATACCAGAAAAAAAATTCATGCTAAAATCAGTGTATTACATATACATCAACAAAGTAAGTCATGCAGGTAAGGTTACCCTAAGCTTCCAGAGATAGAGAATGGTGGCACTGAGCATAATCACTAACATGTGTGTCTTAGTGAACAGATATTTTTTTTTCAGTAAGTGAGTGCACTAGCTGGAGCCACACATTCTTTTATAGGCCAGTGTACTCTATCTTGCTCACATAAATAGCGGAGTAAGCTAGTTCTTAGCAAGCAGTGTAAAAGCAGAGCTTTGCCAATGTCTAACAGAAAAGAGACCAGTTTTTCCAGCAGTTTATGCAATGAATTTCTGAGTTGAGAGCTATACAGGTTTATCATCTTAATAGAAACAGCACTTTGATCAAATTGCCTCAATCATTTGTTGAGCTGATATTAATTGCATACATACAACCAACAGCAAAGGGGACATGGATAGCCCAAAGGGAGCAAAGATGACCCAGCAGAGCTGATTAAAATCTTGGTTTAACCCTCCTACATCTGATTTTACCATGTTAGCTGAGGCAGTTTTATTGCTAATTCATCCATGCAGATCAGAGTAAACTTTATTGTACTTATGTTTACCTTGATCTACCGACACATTCCTTCTACTTTGCTTTGTCTTTTCTAATTTACTGGGTGCTAAGAAATTATTTTCCATATTATATATTTAAATATTATGAATGCAACACTAGGGAGGATTCAGAGCTACTCTAAGATTATCATTACTCAACTAGAGAACCACAAATTAATTAAAAGTGGTGTGGTTAACAGTACTGGACTTTATTCATTAAGCACGTGCTCAGTCTATAAGATGCATTACAAGGAAATACTGCAGACAATCCCTAACTGAACAAAACAGCCCCAACAGATTAAAGGAAAAAGGGGTAGGGAGAAGCTGGAGAATTCACAAGCAGCACACGAGTTCAGAAAAATCCTCCAATGTTATATTAGGACCTAAGCAAAAGTAAGTTTAACAATTCACTTTAACGCTAAAGCAACCTTGCCACGTTCTTACTAATAACCTTTGCTCAAGAAGAGTTGGTGAGAAACAGATGGGCTAGCAAGACCCAGATATCACTTTGAAAGAAGGGAAGACAGCAATACCTCATTCTGACACATTAAGGAAATGCACTGCAGATAATCCCCTTTAAACTCATTTTCAAGAAAAAATATACTGAAAACAGCACATTTCTCAACACTTGGAAGGGACAGGACAAATCAAAACAAGAAAAGTTGATGTCAGACTTCACAACCATCTGTCTGTAACACACAGGGAAACCCTGAGATCCCATGGAACTTCATCTCTATTGCTGTTTGCTTAATTAGATTGCTTGGCTCAGCAGGTTCAACAGGGAAACTGCATACTTGGTCCTTACCACCTCTCTCCCTTCTCTTCCCTCTATGTGAGTAAGGCTGCACTTTAAACACAGGCTCTTTCTAAAAGATTTTAAGGATGCACAACTGAGCAACACAGCAGCTAATTAAGAAGAAAAATCTCAACTCTGTAAGTAATTATTTATAACGGCTGAGAGAACAAGCAAGACAGGATGCAGCATGGAAACACACATGTTAAATCACTGCAACCTAATTAGAAACAAACTACTAATGACCTAAAAAGACTCATTCTTAGCTCTGACTGGAGCTTCTCGAATGAAAAAGGTTTTTTCCTGTCACCACAAACCAAAACTGCTTAATAGCTAAGACTCCCTCTGGTGTCCCTTTTCTCTGTACAATGCAATGTTTACTGTGAGTCAACAACAGACCTTCAGTACTAAACTGATTCTTTGCTGGCGACCCAATTAATGCTTCACAAAAGTTCCAGCTGGCTTTCTCTCTCCGCCTGTCCCCACCCCCCCTTTTTTTTTAATTAAAAAAAGAAGGATGCTAGCACAGCTCCCTCGCTGTACAGAGAGCAACAAAAGCCACCCAGGTAGTCATTCTACACCCATCCATCAGGCTAAATAAGATGCCCACTGAAGGCTTGAAGCACCGAAAGAAGGCACAGCACTACTCCACCTAGTGGCCTTCGCTTACAGAGTCCTAATCCCACTTTCTTAGGTTGATGGTTGTGACCACAAGACTTTATTTCCTTTGATTTTACTGCGCTGCAGTGAACAAAGGCTTTCAGCACTGTTGTACCACAGCCAAATTATATTCATCTGTAAAAAGCCAACAGTATCTACCATGAGATTCTTTAGAAACTCAGCAAAACCATCTCAGGCAGAGCACCACCCTTACACTTACATGTAGATAAAGGTTGCTTTGGCTCGCAGCACCCACTGCCCAAGCAAACACCATCTTGATCATGATTGTACATCCAATTCCCATTTCACTAACGTTCTGTTATACAGTAGAGCATGTACTGACATACACACCTTAAAAATCATTTCAACACTTAAACCTTTGCATCAGCCACTAGACAGGAAATCTCCTGAACACAGAACACTTCCCAAAACAGAAAGGAGTATGAAAAGTTGAAAATGAGTAGCAAAGACTCTGCACACAAGTATCAATGTTTTTCCTTGGAGCTACTGTTAGAAAATTAAGTGCAGGCCACCAGAAACCAGGACAGCAGTATGCAGACCAAAAGCAAATAAAAACCAGGCCCTCGAGTATCTTCTGATTAAAAGGAAACCTTGGAACAAAAACTAATCTAACATCAAACTTGTATTTTCACAGATCACAACCAATTTTTGGCTGGTTAACTATGACATGTTAAACATGGGAAAAAAAACAATTTTTTTGTTCCTGTATCAACAAAATAAGTTTCTAAAAATATGAACCTACATATCTTCATTTGTTAAAAATGAACAGCAGGTGCAACAGTTGACTGCTGTGATGTGCTGACAGTGTTAAAATTTCCCTTCGCCTTTCTGAAATTTGCAGAAAACACTGAAACCAAGTCCAAAGGAAAATTAAAACTTGCAGGAATGATCTTACATGGGGAGAAATTTTGCTTCTCAATACAGGAAAAAAAGTGATGGGAGGCAATAAAAAAATCTACTACACATTTCAGTGATTTTTCTTTTTTAACAAAGCCACTGTATAAAACCTTATTAAGGGAAGTCAGGTTGAAAGCAAGAATGCACTAACATTGCTTTCGGACGTGAACACAAGATGGATTCGTCAGTAAGACTGCACCAGACAGCTGGGATTTTCATTACAAAAAAACCCCAGGTGATTAGGACACTGCTCTAGCTCATCACCACTGATCTTAAAATTAAATTTGAATCACTATCCACTCTGCACTTAGGACTCTTCCTCACGGAAACAGAAGCCATGCAGCAATCACTTGCAAGACTATATTTGAAATCATGGAGCAAAGTGAGGTAAGCCTACAGCATCTTTCACCTGCCGGAAAAGGGTAGAGTTTAATCTGTTCAACTCTGAGAGGAAAATCAGTGAGATAAAGTCTACGGACGCACAGTGTGAATTTTTAAACACTTCAATCCTGGTCAACAGAAAAAAGTTATACACATTCACATCACAAAATGAGAAACAATGAGAACTACTGCTTACAGGAGAACTTCACTGTGCACCCTATGTACAGTACAAGTCACTACCTGAGAAAACATAATTCATTGATCCTGCTCTCTTTTAGTAGAAAAGCATCGACGAATGCCTAAAGTCCTTAAAAAATTAGGAAGTTTTACTGTTAGGGTCTACTGGGACACCTTAAGCTGTGGAAGTCTGCACACAGTGGGATGTATCACAGTTATGGTCAGTACAATAGTTCCAGATTTTTTAGCTATTAAAAAAACACTACACAAACATATATTTCTGACCTAAAATGTGATCAGGCTAAAAGGAATGAGACTTTCACTTAACCTGGGGTACCAAATCAAACATCTGAGAAAGCTGCCTCCTTCTCAGCTGGTATCTTGTCTTCTATAATAATCTTTCAAATTACTACAGTCTCTGCAGCTCACACCCTCCTGGCTCAGGTATTCTGACACAGACCATTACTGCAGGAGTTTTGTAGAGTCAATGGAACAGCACTGTTCCATGAAAGCAAGTTGCTTTCATGTTCCAATCAGCAAGTACATGCTGCTACTGCCCTTCAGCTGTCATCTAATGATCACACAGGGAAAACAGAGCAAAGCAAATTCATAGCTCACAAGTCTTACCTTTTTCTTTCTTCCCTCCATCGAGCAATCTCTTCTGGACTATCTAATTTTATTCTTTTAGCACCAGGTGCATGTGCCTAAGGAAAAAGTATTCCATATGAGTTTAAAAGGGGAAGGAAAAAAAAAAACCACAAGAAAAAAAGAAAAAAAAGCATCATTATGTCAGCTGTAGTGCCATCATATCATTTTCATCTCCAAAAGTGGTGAGAATGCACACCACAAATGCAACATGAATCCAATAAAAAACCCCATAGTATTCAACATATTTTCATCCACAACATTGTCTTAAAACACATTCTACTCAAAGATGATACAATTTTTTTTCCAAAAGAATGAAAGCAAGCCACAGAAGAATGAGTAAAGGGACTATGGTAAAGATGGCATAGACTCGTGTTTTGGGCCCAAAGGGATACATACGTTCTTCCAGTGTATCTGCACTATCTTCTCATGTGCACTGAAACTGCAACCTTCTTCTGTGCACTGCAAGATAAGAAGATGAGCTTAAAACACTCCAAATTATAAGCAAGCATTTGAACACACTTCAAACAAACTCAGTGCCAGATGCCTGTATGCTTTGTTATACAGAATCTTTAAGCTATCCAGTTTCCAAACAAAGTGATTGTAAAAACAGGAAGAAAAGACAACGTACTTTGGATTTCATCTGATTTTAGAATAACCAGTGTAGCTGCTGTATCTGATAACTGGAGATAATGTGAAGTTTACCTAGCAGTTGAAAGACTGTCAGATTTCAAATTATGATGCTTCTTTGCAATAAAGGAGTGGGTTTTTAGAATGTTTTCCACAAAAAGTCTTTCCACACAAAAATCATACATGCTATACTGATGTCAATGAATTAATTCCAACCACTCAGCAATGCTTCAACAGAAAAGCATTTAAATAGACTTCAGTAATAAAACAAAAAATACAACTGACACCACCTCTCCACACAACATTCAGAAAGAAATCTCCCACTAACACTTTGTGTTGCTCTAGAATCTCTTTGCCAAGTCTTACATTCAATGAGTGACCACAGCTAACTATTTATCAGATGCAAAGTTAAAAATCAAAGTGTGAATAAAACAAGTCAAACTCATCAACCTGCTTATGTTGTGAAATATGTTCATCATACTTCTCCTGGTTTTTATAGCCACGGTCACAGGTATCACAATAATGAGAGAATACTGGCTCTTTTTTCTTTTTGGCCTGCAAGAAAAAAAACAAACAGAAGAAATAATCTTAAGATTGCAGTTTCAAGATATTCCTATTTTTAATTGGTTGCAAAATACTATAATGAGTATTTTTATTAATAAAGCCATCAGTTAACATATGCTTCAAAAGTTTCAAAGATAAGCTAACATAACATGAAAATGAAGTTCAAATCACTTCTCTCCTAAACAAAGTGTCCTGCACTCGGCTCTTTCCACTACCACCTTTCAATTACTGCTTCTGCAAACATACCAGGCTGGCACAGACTCACCAAGGGCCCTGAGAACTAGTCTACAGCTCTAAGTGTCTTCCCTATCAAGACAAATCCTGACTGTTCTCACATGACAAGTTCAAAGGTCAGCATGGATCCTTCCGTCTCCCACTACACACATCAGTGTCATCTGGCTGTCTGGCCTTGATGATATAACAGAGCACGAATACAAATTAGGCACTCAGGCATGACCATTGTAAGGGCTTAACCAACATAAGCCTGTGTTATAATTTGGTTGCCATGTATTTTTCAACAGGATCAAGGTTTACAGACTGTTATGTTTGCTCACATGTAAAGGCAGGCATGTTAGACAAGAGTATGGGATCTCTACAGAGCAAGGGGCAAATCCCACAAGACTGTCACCATCACCGAACGACAGAATAGTTTGGGTAGCAAGGGACCTTCAAAGATCATCTGATTCCACCTCTGCTGCCATAGGCAGGGACAATCCATTACTAGATGAGGCTGCTCAAAGGCCCATCCAATCTGGCACTGAACACTTCCAGGGATGGTGCATTCACAGCTTCTCTGGGCAACCTGTGCCAGTGTCTCATTCATGATAAAAGTCTCTTCCTTATGTCCAACCTAAATCTACCCTCTTTCAGTTTAAAACAATTACTCCTTGTCCTATCATTACAGGTCCTACTAAAAAGTCTGTCCTCATCTTTCTTGTAAGTCCCCTTAAAGTTTTGAGAGGCTGCTGAAAGGCCACCCTGGAGCCTTCTCCAGGGTGAACAACCTCAACTCTCTCAGCTGGTCATCACAGCAGAGGTACTCCAGTCCTCTGGTCATTTTTGTGGCCCTCCCCTGCACCCACTCCAACAGGTACATGTCTCTCTTGCACCAAGGACCCCCATCCATACCTTTGGTTTGTTGTTTTCTTCTGGAAAACGTTTACTATATGTAGGCACTTGCTTGCCTTGCCATTTCTGGGAGGAATTACCATTTCCACCTTTGAACAAAAATAAAAAAGAGCCATTTATATATACAGCTGGTAAAACACACCCCCCTCCTACCTCAGTGGGCCCAGCGTGGTGGCAAAGGGCTTAGGGAAACAATAAGAGGGGGCTGCATGACCAGCACCACAGACATGCTTGGAAGGAGAGTCCTCCACCACCCAAGGTCTTGGGACAGCCCCAGGGTCCCAGCCTGTGTGGGATGGAAAAGAGTCCACAGGCCTAAGATACGACTTCTTCATGCCCCTCACCAGCACCTGGTCCCTGCGGTCGTGCTCCGTAGGCTGGTGGGTACCAGGCAGCAGGGGACGCGTAGCTATTCGGTGGCAGGTAGTCCTTGGGCTGCGAGTAGCTCTCGGCAGGTGGGTAGTGCTCAGGCTGGGAGTAGTTCTGAGCGGGTGGGTAGCTCTTGTTAGGCTGCGAGTAGCATTCAGGCTGTGAGTAGTTCTCAGCACGTGGGTAGTTCTCGGGCTGCGAGTAGCTCTTGGCAGGCTGGGAGTAGCCGTCGGTGGACGAGAAACTCTCGGCGGGCTGCGAACAGCTGTTGGCG